AAAAAAAAAAAAAAAAAAAAAAAAAAAGAGGAGGGTGGTAAAGCGGAACCAAGTGGAAGAAAGAGTGTCCCTTGTCCGAAGGGTAAGCGTTTCAAACTTGGGATAGGGGCCTTTAAAGCCGCTAGAGAGTGGATCATGGAATTGTTGAGTCACAAAATCGGAGAGAATCATACCCAGCTCGCTTGTTAAGCCTGTCAGACAGAGAGAGAGAGAGAGAGAGAGAGAGAGAGAGAGAGAGAGAGAGAGAGAGAGAGAGAGAGAAAAAAAAATGCTGCGTGTACTTTAGGAATCCGAGCGTCCTTCTACTGATATTGAGAAGCTGCTGTATTGACAGATGCTTTTGCTCAATGGCGCCCGTGCACCTGTATCAGCTCTCTGGTAATCTCCACTCGCCTCCTCCCACTACAGCGCTGCGCCGCCAGTGGAGGACCGGGCTGATGAAATGGAGCCAAGAGAGAAAGCTGGCGCAGTCAAGAGGTTGTCATCGGAATCTTCTAAATCAGGTACTGGTACAGGTCAAATGGTACTGGTCAGTGGGCCTGAGATTCAAAGAATATTTTATTGATCATCAGACTCGGAGAGCGGTTGTTGGGTCTTTTTTTTTTGGACTGTTGGAAAAAAAAAAAAAAGAGAGAAATCCCACAAATGAACACACAAAAAATATATTTTGAAAGAGGAACAGCCTAAAAAAAATCAACAATTACTTAACCCTTATAGGGACGGAGGTTACTACAGTGGACAGCTTATCATGTTGTCAGGTTACAGGGTGCATGAAAGGGTTCAAGTAAAAGTTTATCATTGCCGGTGAGGTGACGCAATTGAAGCCTTCAAATTGCTTCATTATATGGATTTGCATTCCGGATTAAAATCAAGGCAGACTATCCACGGATTGGCCATCTTCCATTTTTTTTTAAACCCAAGTTCTTCCATCAATACTGAAGAAAAAAAAAATGGTGTGTTGAATTTACTCAATTTGATTTTGTCAAGTGGTTGCCTGAAATAAAATCATCTGGATCCAGATGGGTAAATTCAACACATTTTTTTAAGCTATGGCGTTTTACTTGCAAAAACAGTGCTTTTAGGCATTCAGTGTTTTCTTTTCTGTTAGTCGCACGGGGGTGGGGGGGGGACTTGATTTTCAGTTGCATATGATGAAAATGCGTTTAAAGCAATAAAAATGAAAAGGCCAAATGTTGAAAACGTGATTAGCGATGAGTCAACTGAAAGCATGAAATATCGACGTGGAACACTAGTCGACTCATTGACTCGACGACTAATTGTTCCACTCGAAGTTCCCACTAATTACAACAACTAGTTCTATTTTGAGTCATTTTCTTTTATTTGCTTTTATTTGTTGGAAGATTGCTGTGCCAGAGAGCGCAAATACCCGATCTTATAGCCTAAGGTTCCTGGAAATGAGGTGTTTGGCGTTCTTATCAAGGGGGACGGTTCAGGCTGAATGGGTTCAAGAGGCTGATCGCTGTCCTCCTCCATCATGGCGCGTTCTTCATATTTCACGATACACTAGCTCACCACTTTGCGTTCCATCCCGGGAAGGGTTGAATTGGAATAGTCGCGCGGCAATAACTACATCGTGACAGCCGGAAAAGTTTTCGAGCCGTGATGCCAATGGGGGTTTATGCCACATGATGTCAAGCAATGAGGGGAAAAGTAAAGAAATCCTTTGCTTAAATAGGACGTTGACTCTTTACCCGCCATTAAGTTTTTCTCCGTAATGTGTTTTTTTATACAAGCTGAGAGTTGATGAATGCATGTTTTATTCACGAGTATGTTATTTATTTATTTTTTTAGCACATTAAACTTATACGCAAGAACGATAATTTCAACAAAAGACTATAATGGCACAAAGTCAACCGTGGCATTCTGAGAAACTACGTTAAAAAAAAAAAATCCTGTCAAAAATCTATAAGATGATAAGATGCAGGGTCATGTTGTCCAAATCTTTTGTTTCGGTGCGAGTATAAGAAAAATAGACCTTGATATAAGATCACTTTGATTTTATATCCCGTATTTTCCACACTATAAGGCACTTCGGAGTATAATGCGCACCTTCAATGAACGGCCCGTTTTAAAGCTGTTTTCATATATAACGTGCACCGCATAAAAGGAGCACAGAATAGAAGCAACAATAGTGGCTGCGGTTGCGTTATGCATCCACTAGATGGGGCTACGCTGAAGGGAATACAATACAATACAATACAGCTTTATTTCAAAAGAGCTTTCACAACCGCTGCGACTGTAACAAAACGCTTTACAGAACATCTAAAATACAACGTCCAACACATGAGAATATTGATCCGTGTATAAGGCGCATCGGATTATAAGGCGCACTGTCGGCTTTTGAGAGAATCAAATGCTTTTAGGTGCACCTTATAGTGCGAAAATACGTTACATACTTTCTTCCAATCAAAGCATGCAGAAGCATTTCTGACATCATTTTACTACTAAAATCATAAGTGTGTCACTACCGATGTGGGATAATGGGCAAATAGTAGGTGGAAGTGCACACTTTGTGATATAAACTAACTAATTCAATAATAATTGGGTTAAAAATACCCCCAAATGTAATTATTGTGTACGTTTCATTTGTGTTTCCGTGTGTTATTGTCACAGCCATTCCTCCTCAGTTCCTGCGGGATTTACGAACAATGTCAAGTTCCCCCGAGGACCCCGGGAGTCTCTCGAGTGCCTCTTAAAGCTTAACACTCCCTGACTGAGTGGCACAGCAAGAGCCACTTGGTGTCTCTCTCTCTCTCTCACTCTCTCTCCCTCAACGCCCCCCCCCCCCTAAGAACAGAGAACAAGCTCTCAATTGCGGTTCCCCTGCTCGTCTCGTGCGCCCGCCTTTTGAGCTATTTCCACATTCAGGCAATTGTAATGGAAAACGCCGGCGCTGTACCTAATGGCTTGGCATCCCCCGCGAGAGCCGGGAAACATATGTAAATTTATGTAAACCCAAGAGAAAACACATATTTACAATAGCGCGGGGGTAATGTGACGACACGCTCGATGGAGGCGCCATGTGTCATTAGGCTGCTTTATCGCTTTTCTTTTACCTGGGAGGTGCTACAATCACTCAGTGAGCGGAGAGGGAGAAAGGAAATGATGTGGAGCAGTGATGAAGAAGGAGGAGGAGGAGGAGGGATACAAAAGTAGTGTTTCTGGGGTGAAAAGAAGGTGCACGACTCATTTATTACATCACTGACGAAAAAAAAAAGTTGGATTGCGCAGCTATCAAATATAGGGCACAGTTGATGACACAATGTGTGCTTTATTCATCAGGATTATATTGTACATAAGACTACAGGATACCTTTCCCACCCTAAAAACCTCAGAAATTCTAATTTGTAATCTTTTGATGAGCAGGTACTGCGCCAGTTTGTCTAGTGACTTCCACCTAACCACCAGATTAAACACTACAAAAGTCCAAAAGGCAAAATGAGCAATGATCATTTGTCAATGAAGTCAAATAACATTTTCTCAAAACATGAAACGTGAGAACTTTGACGTCTGTCAATGGATGAGCTGAAACCACTCAAAAATAGGAGCGCATCATTTTTATTTTGTTTCACCCGAGCAATGTTTATGTCTGTTGTGCAGCAAAAGCAATCGATTCTGTGGCGCCTTGTGATATGAATGAAATTTGTTCCATGATGTGGCTCAAAACTAAAAACAATCATACACGTTCCCCATTGAAATTAATATTAGTGCCATTAATAGGTTCAAGCATCCGCAAAAATCAGTCGATGGCGTTTCTCATTTTTAAGGCAAAGCTATGTGGTTGTTTTAAATAAATGAGTAATTCTCTTGATTTTATGTTTAGTTTGACAGTAAAAATAATGGTAATTGATTGAAGACTTTTTTAAAAAAAACAATTGTTTCATTATCTGCCTCGTTACTGCTCATCGTGAGGTCAGTTGAGTTCAATGAAGTCTCAAGGCACTACTGTACTTGGCCAGAAGATGGTGCTGTTTTCTCACGTTCAAAGGATGACGCACCAATTCATACTTTTCGTCAGACTCAGGACATCGATCTGAACCGTTTTATGCTCGCGCGGATCCCAGCTGACTTTTACAAATATAGCCTGCTAAGCTAAGAGAATTTTAGCTGGTTTCCTGTTGTTTTTTTCATGTCATGAAATGACCTCCATTTGGTAAATTCCACATTTTAGTAGTTATGCTGCATAGACCATCATAAATTCATGAAGGAAAAAAATGAAGTTGTTTTAATTTTTCTGTGATATCTTGACAGTACTGTCTATACATTCTAAGGTTTGGAAACCGTTTCTCATTCAATAGCACTAGAAAGCAAATTTCGTTTTTTGACTGGTCGTGTACGTCAGGTGCATTATGATTCTTTCTATAAAAAATAAAAAAAATACTAGCCAGGCTGAAATTAGCTTGAGTGCAAAGTGGAAATGGTTGTGTTTTGCGATACTGGTGACAGACTCGCTTATCATAAGCGTCCTAACTTTCGTTCACTCAACGGACCGATACCTGAGGCCTCACTTCTTCCTGCTCTGTTTCACAAGCTCCTCCACCTCCTTCATGAAGCGCAGGCACAGCTCATCCTGCCACGGCGGGGCGACACACTGCACGGCCATGGGCAGACCCTCGCCTCTCGACAATGCCTACACACACACAAACACGCTTCAATGTTCAAAAATTCTCAAAAGGCCAGAGAGCGGTCAGGACAGTCTGCCGTCTCCACCTGCTGACTGACGGTGGAACTACAACTTTTGTTTTTTGCTGCCACATTTATTTTAACCTAAGAATTATATTTGGATTATTGGCTTGCAGTTTATATATATATTTTTTTTTTATGTACAACCAAAGTTTTCTGCGAAGGTGCCTCGATACTCAAGTGTCAAAATGCAAATTGTGTGTTGTGTCTCCATGTTGCTAAGAATCAGGGTTGATATGCAAATTCCTTTTCAACTATTTACTTTCTAACATTCATCAGAATGTTCGCATTGTCAGATTTTGGTGAGAAGTCTAAATTGGATAAACTAAGGTGTTGATGATGTTGATAGTGTGAGGCAAAAGTGCGCTTGCAAATGAGTCAATAAATCTAATAAACAGAAAATGGGCGCTGGCTGGGTTCACATTAATGAAAAACACCAGAAAATACAAGTTACATGTAGCACAGTTATGATGATTATGAATAATGTTTCCCAGTGGCCACGTTAACAAAGTCCCCCGCTCACTGTTGCATGTTGCATTGACCTGTTTGTAAAGCTTGTCCCAGTGGTCCCGATGCAAGCCCTCATAATGGGCCAGTTCCTCCTCATCCTTTGCTGTCACCGTGGTAACGGGAACAACGCCGGCAGGAAAGTTGAGCAGATTGTAGATTGCCGTGTAACCCAGAGGGACTGGATGGGCCGAAAAACAAAGAATTGGGTTAAAAAAAAATTCTTCTAATAACCAATTGCTTTTTAAAAAATATCTAATAACTTTTTGGGTCCCTTAACACTTCCTATAAAAGTTTGCTTGACAATACTTTGGCCTTTAGGATTTCTTAAACTTTAAAACAGAGAGGAATTTACGCAGATAAATATATACACCCCAAAAAAAATCATGAATGACTGAATTTAGCTTTACAGTAGACCCCAAAAAAAAATGACGAATGACTGAATTTAGCTTTACGGTATGCCACAAATGTATTCGGTAAGTCCCAAAAAAATAATTTCCTGGCAAAATATGATTTCAGCACGTCCCTTAACGTTAAATCACTTAAAAAAAATTTTTTTTTTACTCTTTTTTCCTTTCAATTAAGTAACAACTCCTGCTGATTCTTATTATTTTGAAAAAGGCCTCCTATCCAATTCACCCCGCCCAGTTAAAAACGTGGATGGCTACTCTCCTGGCTTGGTGACATAACGCAAAGCGTGAATACACGTTAAAGACGAATCCATACAGGCAAGGCTGCCGCAGTATAAGAAGTTATAGGCGGGTCCAAACATGGGGCAGAGCAGCACGTCGATCTTGCACCGTCTCCATTCCGCCAGGGTCTCCTGAATGTAATCCTGATGGACACACACACACAAGAAGAAGCTTCATCGTGTCCTTCCGTACGGGCTCAGTCACCCTCGGCTCACGCTACCTGCACAGCCGAGTGTTGCTCCCACAGCTCCACAACAGATCTGAAACATTGATGTCGAAATGGAGTCTTGATCTATTCGCCGGTCATCATTGAGAAAGACGGCTTTTGAGTTCTCACCCGACTCCGGTGGTGCTTTGCAGGAGGAACGAACCGCGAGGAGACTAAAAAGACAAATGAAACCGCTTTTCAATGAAAACTGTTTTTTTCAAGTACAGTGGAAACGGAATATTTTAACTCTGCAACTTTGGCTACAAGTTCCTCTCTTTTTTTTTTCTTTCTTAAGAATTAAGAAATTCCATGTGGATGGATTGGCGCATTACAAAATATATCATACAGTTTCTGTAAATAATACATTTATTGTTTTTAAGAATGCTTTATTTTGTTATTGAATCAATGTATTCCTATTTGGCCAATTACAGTAGATGAGTCTCTCAACTACGAAGACAAGAGATGAACTGGTTCCTTTTTTTTTTCTCCCCCCATGCAAAATGTTTCAGATTACCACATGAACTTTTAAACTTCATAACGTCCCAAGTTGTATAACACGGTATGTTCTTGTGTAATTTTTTTTTCTGGATTTGCTCAAAAAATAATGCGGTTAAAGAAAAGAAAAAAAATCACCCCCCCCCCAAAAAAAGTTTCTCAAAAAATAAAATCCCATCCACACTAACCATTACGGCTGGGCAATAATTCACTCTTAACCAATATCATGACAGACACATGATTAATATCAATAGAAATTGGAATGGAAAAAAAAAAACATTTTGTGTGAAGATACAAAATGTCTTGTTTTGAAGTGCAATGATACTTCCATTTGTATGACACTAAATATCTCCTTGCATTAATACAATGATGATGTGTCGCTTAATAAGGTAGACGCATTTAAAAAAAAATTGCTCTCAGGATGAGAGGGACAGAAAAAAACAGGCATTATTTCGCAATTCGTGATGGCGCGACTATTCACCAGAGGTCTCATCAGGAACAAGAGGATCTTCCTCAGCCAGCAAGGAAGATAGAAAGGCAACACTTGTGGTTTGAGAGTAGGATCAAGAGGTCCTCCCTTCCTAGAAGTAGGAGAGGATGAAATAAGAGGGTCAGGGTGATTGTCGTGTGATTTATGCTCATGTTCCTCGACATCACACACACGAGTAGAATTGGGCGGCCTCAATGAGGGCAAATTCTAATTGACGCGCACACCGTTTGTGTCTTGTGAAGTGCGAGGTCTCCCCCCCCCCAAAAAAAAATGCCGCGCTTGAAATATTAATGTCTGAATCACGAGATAGGAAACACTAAAATAGCTTCATGTTGAAAATTTGACGATTTTACTCCCCATTTTACAAGACTTCAGAAATATTCACCGCCTGTGACACGACACATTTTGCTTTTTGCTTTTCACTTAGATTTTTTTTTTTTTGCGTCATATCCAAACCCGTTTTCCAGGCGCTGTGTTTTCTTTCCACTTTTCTCAAAAACTCTTGTTTGACTTTTATACGAACACACAAACTGCTGTTGAATATTATTCATCAACCTGAAAAAAAGTCAAAGATTAAGCTAACAAACGTCGACTCAAGGTTCGCGTTGAACTTTGTCTTTAATATTTGAGATGATTTCAGAAATTTTTTCGGGGGTGGAACAACCTGTAATATTTGGATTCGTGGCTCGGAACAACTCCAACCTTGGACATCCAGCGAACGAAAGCAGTTCTCATGCACGCATGCACGAATTATGCATTTAACCAAACTCGGCGAGCTTCATGCTTACACACGATGTAAAACACTTTAGACAAGCCAATAAAATTAGCATTTACGTTGCTGTAGTTATAACCATTGAAGCGACGGAAATGTGAACACAAACAATGCAGCAACACCTGTAGATAGACAATATCACAATCCGCACATAATTTATTCTACATGCAAAAACGACTTAATGCAGCTTACTGAGTTGTCCAGTGAGAGAAACTTTTTTGTATGTTTGCAGGATACGGCCCCCTGGTGGCCAAATCGCACATAACTGTTCAATTCTTTACATTCAGTGCTACACCCTGAAAAAAAAAAAAAGTGTTGTTCTGAGGCTGTACTATATCACCGGTGTTTGCATTCACTCCAATTCCAGTGCAAAACGGCTGAAAGGAAAACACGTGATGTCGTCAGTGGAGGCATGATTGTCAAACATTCTTCACACACTCGATCAGACTCACAGTTTTTGGACCAGGGAGGCCCCTCCGTCTCCAAAGATGCTTTTGGAAATGAGGAGAAAAGTCTCTTTCATCCTCAGAGGACTGTATGGCACCACCTACGCGTTCAAAGAAACATCAGGGAGACGATGTCAAAAACAAACCAAAACATACTTTCCTTCCAGCTGTGCGCTGACGGCGAGGTCTTACGGTATGGCCCGCCTGCTCCAACAAAGTTTTGACTTCTCTGATGCTTCGGGTCATGCTCGGCGTGGGTGGACACTGGCCGTCGCTTTCCATGTAGCCGATCCTCAGAGGCTTGGTGCTCTTATACATCTGACACAAGCATACGTTGAGAGCACATTGAGAATAATGCGAGTAAATTGAAACAACGGCAGCATTATTTCCGCGTATGTTAACCAGTGGAACCTCAATTGATCCGACTAATTAGGGGAAGGGGTCGTACGTCTGGGCTGATTGTCGGTTAAACGTAAGTACTTTTTTCGTGGCACTAACAGACTTTGAATCAAACCCTGCACCTCTGCACTGAGAGGCGGATGCGCTAACCAATCGACCGTGAGATTTTACTCGCGCAAAATCGCCTTGGCTCAGTAAAGGTACGGAAACACCGCCGTAACACATAGGACAGAGATTTGGATGGCCAGTGTGGAAGGGTCTCGTGACAAAGGGTAAATGATTCAGCGAGGACGCACCTGCATGTTAAAAGGCACTGGAGGGACAGTTGGGTCAAGAGCAAACATGTGGTGGCAGAGCAGCGCCTGCATACACAGAGCCAAGCCGTCCACATCCCTCGCCAAGGGCCCAGGCGTTCCCACCACTAATTAGACGACAAATACATACATCGGGGAAGTGTTGTGTATTTTAGCCTGGAACCAAATAGCAGTGTTAACTCTGTATTTAAAACGTTTCAAATACAGTGGTACCTTTACTTTGATTGGTTCTGGAAGAAATTTCTTAACTCGAAAATTTTGTACGTCGAGACGCATTTTCCATGTAAATGCCCTAATCCGTTCCAAGCCCCTCCAAAATTCAGACATAAATGTTTCCGAAAGCATAAAAATGCATCAAAATATGTAACAAATACATGTTACAATTAGACTATTGCACAATAAATGAGAGTTGTGCATAATGTAAAAAACAAAGACTAAAGAATAAAAGCGTATGTTGCGTTCAGGAAACTCGAAGCTGCGAGTAGCAGCCCAGACTGTATTTTTACCTTTTGTATCTTGAAATTTATTTTGTAGCAAGAGGCAATATTTTCCTGCTGAGGCGTTTTGCAACTTGAAAATGTCGTATGAAGAGATGTTCGTAAGTAGAGCTACCACTGTATTGTAAACGTATTTAAACAGTCGTCTTTTGCCATATCACGGTTTACTTTTAGCGCCGTTTTCAGGTGAGAGCTAAAGCCATAAAAAAACAACAACAAAAAACACATAAGAATCAGCGAGATAGCAAAGGTGCCAACGATCAACCTCGACGCGGCGGTCAAACGCGCACAGCGCAAACAGAAAAGGTACTCACCTGACTTTTGCCCGGGAGAAACACTGCTTATACCCACTTTGCTAAGGCACAAAGAGAACATTTTATTGCCGCGAAGTAAAATGAGAGATAACCGCACACTCAAAGCAAAAGATGATGACCTCAGTCGCCCCACAGTTGGTTTGAGGCCGCATATCCCGCAGAACGCAGCGGGGATACGGATGCTGCCCCCGATATCGCTGCCTATGCCGAGGATGGAACCGCCTCCGCCAATGAGAGCCGCCTCGCCGCCGGAAGAACCTCCGCTGGTTTTCTTGAGGTTATGCGGGTTCACCGTCTGCCCATAGATGATGTTACTGCAGTCGTAACTTGAGGTGGGGCGTGGAAAGAAAAGGAAGAGGAGCGTGATTGTCCCTTTCCAGAATGACAACGTGTGCAAATGTTGACATTACCTCAACATGCCCTGGGAGATGTTGGTTTTCACAAAGGGAATGGCACCTTGTCTTCGCAAGACTTCCACAATAACTGAGTGGCCCTCGGCCGGTTGGCCAAGGTTGGCGAGTAAGCCGCAGGAGGAGTCGTAGTTCTGAAACAGAGACAGAGAGTTTTCAACTACCGGTACATAACAGTATGAATTCCTCCTCGCTACCTGGCAGGGATAATGTGAAACTTGACGCTTTCCGCACACTCGGTGCTCCTTTTGTTGTCTTAGTTTTGGTTGAGGGGAAAAAAAAACGTTTTGGATTAAGCTGCGAAAAGGTGTTTAAGGTAAGCAGGAAGCGAATCAACCACGAGCACGGTAGTATTCCAAACTCCTCAGTTAATTAAAAACTAATTTAGTTTTCTTCAATTGCGTGTTTTGAAAGCAGCTACAAATCAAGTTCTGCTCGTTTGTGACTGAATAAATATTCAAATGTCACTTTTATCACTCGGGGCATTGCAAAAATTTGTGAAAATGGGGAAAAATGCTTCCGAATATTTCTGCTGATGCTCAGTAAACAGGAGACAAGTTGACTTCAAATGTTGACAAGACACTGCAGATCAAAAGAAATTAGCCTGTGGCTAACTGTGTATATGTAAATGTTCTTTTTTTTTAACCTGCTTTAATAATTTACATTTTGGTGCGAGTACAGTTTTGAAGCACTGAATACGGTGATCGTCTGCGTCAGCGGTTTGACTGATAAGCCACCTTGCAATTACCTTGTACGCAATGTTATCCTTGATGCTAACCGGAACGCCATACAGGAGACCTCCCTTGTTGGACTCCAGCGTTTTCAGATGGTCAAAACTCTCGAGCAGGATGGCGGTGCAGCAGTTTAACCTTTTGTTTTCATTGATAGTCTGTTAAAAAAAAAAAAAAAAAAGATAGTTATAATAATATCCTTCATATTAGGGTCCGGCCAATTAATCGGTCGCCGGAAAGTAGCTCTTTTAAAATCGTCCTAATGCCCATCACAGTATTTGGTGGGATAAAATTCTGCCAAATACCGTAAGGGCATCGACCTCCCCCAATAAGAAAAAATAAAATACAAATGGGCGGGCCTTAGTTCTTTTTATTGATAATTCTCATTGGGATCAATGATTAATTCAGTGGACCTTGCGCGCCATAGCAATAAATCTGGGAAAGGTACTGGGAATCTTGAGTTCTCAACTTTTAGTAGAATAAGTAAGATTGAGTTTAGTATACTGGACCTTTTCCATGTAGGAGTAAAACACATCTTCGGGTCTCAGCAGGCCATCCTTCAGTTTATTTGTCAGGTCAGCCAGAGACAAAGATAAAATGAGAGATGGATCCATCTTTGGATGCTGGAGGGAGAGTCACACGTCAAGTAAATAACAGCTCTCACTTGAGTACACGTACACACACACAGCAAAGTCGATAAACTCATCCTTGGTGTATACAAAGCAATATTTTTCTGGCATATGTTAAAATGTGCAGAATATTCAGATTTTTTTTTTGTTTAATTGGTGGTGTTTTTAATTTACTTTTTTAGGTGACACTGCGGGCCTCTTGGTTTAAAAAGTTTGAGAACTACTTGTGATTTTAACCTATGTAACGTTGTGGCAAAACATAATGTGTTTTAGCCAGTCTCGGCCCAATATCACCGACAGAAAACGTATTCATTTTTATACATACTTCGTTTTTAAATCTCAACTCACCGCGTTCTTGTAGTGAAGGACAGCCTCTTCAGCTCTCAGCAGGCTGTCATGTCTCAGATTTCTGGCTTTCTGCATCTTCCTCCGAGCGTCCAGGCGGCCGTCGACCGCCCGGGCTAACACCACCATAGTTCCCGTTATGCAGGCGGCAGCCCCGGCGAGGACGGCGGCTGAAGACAGGGTGTCCAGCTTCAGCGCCTGAAGTAACCCTTTGACATTGTCCATACTCGCAAGACAAGTCCGCTATTGTCAAACAATTGTCGTGCCTTGTAAACCGTCCTTGTCAATTTGACTGGGGGCGAGCCAAGCCCGTCTTGGGTTTGTGACGCTTTTATGGCTCGCCTAAGGGAGAGGCTTGAGTCGGTAGTAACTCATTGGCTCGAGACTACAGCGGCGTTTCCTTGAAGAAGCTGAAATCTACGCATGCGCATTAGGAATCCGTGGTAAGTGATTGGCAACGATTCAACAGCATTACCTGAAATGACCTACTAGGGGGCGCCGACGACGCCCTTCTTCCATGCTGGATTTTTTTAACCATTTCTGCAACTTTGTGATTGATTTTGTGTACTGTATTTTAATTTAGAATCTCAAGTTCACACCAAGTGAACATAAAATTTATTCAGGGGGTTGGGGCCGGGCTGTCACCCCCTTAACTATGATTACCAAGTTACAGTGAAGATCGTGAGCAAGTGGGTTTTGGTTTGGATCACCAGTCATAAAAAAATAAAACCCATCTATAAAATTCACTTTTATATTTAGTTTGGTGGTATTTGAGATTTTAAAATGAGCTTCACGATTCGAAACATTCAAGTGTAATAAATGTGAAAAATAAAATCTGAAATCAGGATGGAGGCAAACACTTCCCGTACTATGGGTGATTTGATTCTTGTGAGATTTGTTTTTAAACGATATGGAAATGAAGGCTTAACTTACTTAAGCATAAATCACAAATTCGGCTGTTTTAAATTTAAAAATAAAGTAACACACCAGGCAAAATTGTCTTGAGCCTTTCACTTTAATTATTGCTTCCACTTGCTCTGCAGTTTCCTCACATGATCATACAGATAAAACAACATACAGCATAGACATATACATACAGTAAATATTTTAGATGCATTTAGAACCATTCTCTCCTTAAGGGCCACTGGCACTGCCAATTGCAAGAGGGAATTCATTTCACTGAATGAAAGAGTTTGTGCGCCACCTGTACACAATAAAAATGGGAATTGGTTGCATTTTTATCTTACACCGTGTGGTTAAAAAAAAAAAAGGCAGTCGCTTCTCACTTACACAATGGTCCCTAGCATGGAGGAAGTCAAAAAGCTCCTCGGTGCAGTCTTCCGTTGTGGAGGAGCGAGCGTTCACTCTGGTCTCACATTGCTCCAGACGTGCTTGAGTATGTACGCAGTGCTCGATCTCAGCACACTTTTCGCGCATCGTTTCCAGGGGATCCTGCAAAACAGCAGCATTACAGAAACTAACACTGTCACATACAATTTCAAAATTATGTACCGGTATTTAAAAAGGGTAGTGAGGCTGCATGATATGGACTTAGGGTGGGGGTATGGGGGTGGGGGTATGTAAATCTGATTTTCAATTTTAAATGATTGTTCTCTTAATCTTACAGGAGAAGCAAATGACAATTACATGACTCTATAAGCTTGACTCTTTTTTTTCCCTTTTGGGATTTATTTAATTTCTTATGAGACCAAACACACTTTGGAACATGTCCCCCCCTAAACATTTAAATTTAATTTCAATGAGCATCAACTATACGGCAATTTCCACTATACGTGGGCCGGCACATTCCCTATCGCCCACAACTAAGTGGTGATCCAATATACCACTAAGTCTTCCTCCTCCTCTTCTTCTTCTTCCTGAAAAACAAACAGAAATTACAGTAGTAACAATGAATTTACTCATTCAAAAAGGTGACTTATTCTTATCTTTTTAATAATGCATTCGACTAATACTTTATATTTAAAAAAATAAAAGTGATAAAACAAAAACTTTAAAACGAGTTGAAAAGAATAACATATTGCTCTAAAAACATCGACATTTGCCTGAAGTAAAATTAAAAAAAAAAAGTAACAACGAAATACAAACTATAATGGGTAATCCAAAACTATTACCGTTTAACTTTGCTGCAACTGCAACCACCTGTCTACCACATACAGATTCAAATGCTGTCAATTTCTAATGATAAGTCACCACATCCTTTACTGTTGTTAATTTTGCACACACAAATGCTTCAAAATCAAAATGCACTCAATTTAACGAA